ACTGGGTTTGATTCTCAACACCATGTATAAATAAATAAAATAAAGGTCTATTTAAAAATTTTAAAAAAAGAATATTTAAAAAAAGTAAAAATTATGGGGCTGGGGTTGTGGCTCAGGGGTAAGGTGCTCACCTAGAGTGTGTGAGACACTGGGTTTGATTCTCAGCACCACATATAAATAAATTAAATAAAGGTCCATTAGCAACTAAAAAGTATTTTTTAAAAAAGTAAAAATTAGAAAGTAATAAAAACAGTTATGTTTAAAATACTTTAATAATTGTCACGTGTGGTGATTTGTAATCACAAGGACTTGAGAACTGAGGCAGGGGCATCAAAATTTGAGGCCAGTCTTGGCAATGCAGAGTGACACTGTGTCCAATCCCCAGTACTGAAAGGAAAAAAACAAACAGTATATAGAATTGATGAGGTCATCAAATTATAGGATGTCAATTGAAAAGACTAGAATTTGAAATCCTTTACAGAAATTGTATATTGCACTTGCAAACAGAAAGCAGCAAAACAAACAAAAACCCATAAAAATGAATGTCTGTGGTTGGGTATAGTGGTGCACTCCTGTAATCTCAGTGGCTCTAGAGACTAAGGCAGGAGGATCACAGATTCAAAGCCAGTCTCAGAAATTTAGTGAGGCCCTAATCAAACCTGTCTTTTTTTTTTTAACTTTTTTTTTTAAGAGAGAATTTTAATATTTATTTTTTAGTTTTCAGTGGACACAACGTCTTTGTTTGTATGTGGTGCTGAGGATCGAACCTGGGCCACACGCATGTCGGGCAAGCACTCTACCACTTGAGCCATATCCCCAGCCCGCAAACCTGTCTTAAAATAAAAAGGTCTGGGGATCTGGGTCAGTGTTAAGATCCCTTGGGTTTAATCCCCAATACCTAAATAAATAAATAAATGTATGGGGCAACAAAAGTCGATTTATAAGTAATAGAATATTAGATATTGTGGGGAGCCATTCTGAATGACCCACGCCTTCCATCCTGAAGCAAGAAGCTCTACATTTCATGGTGACTTGGGCATTGTCCCAGCCCAGGAAGTAGAAGGCGTGTCTTCAGGAGCTACACTCACTTATTCCTTTGTAATACTACCCCTTTGCCCTGGTTTGGGATAGAATGTTCCATGGAAATGCCTTTTGTGTGTTCCCTTCTCTTGCTCTGTCTTTGGGTTTGACCTTCCTAGATGTCAATCAACCTGCTGACAGCAGACATCAGGAAGCTAGACTCAACCCCCTGAAACCTGATCCCTTCCCTCATTTGAATGGCTTCTCCTCAAAAAAGGGGTTCAGCATGTGCTCTCTTGCTCTCTATTTCTGCAGACCCTTAAGTTCAGAGGAGCCGTCCAGGACCAAAAGAAAAAAGTATCTCTTGTGTGATTTTGTGCAGCCCAGTTCACCCGGAGTGACCCTGAGTGTTTTAGTCGTGAGGAACACAAGATATTACTTTCAATTTCTTGAATTATTAAACAAAAGAATTGGTCTTGGGATTAGAAAAACCAACAAGATACAAGATACCTTTTCTTCCTTGGAGAAAACCATTAAAAGATATCTAGATATTTGTTATGACAATTTTCTTTGATTCATTGTATTAAAGTTTTAAAGGCTGCAATGCAACAGAAAAGTGCCATAGTGGTCTCACCCCTCTCTTTTGCCAGGAGAATATGCAGGCTTCCTAAAACCCCAGCTCCAATTTAGTATGGAGCAAGATCAGGGGAACTTAGCCTTCTCTTTATTCAGGTACCTAAGGTTGTCGAATTCTTGAATTAGCTTTGGTGATTAATTTTACATGTCAATTTGGTTGTGCCACCATACCCAGATATTTGTTGACACCAGTTTTGTTTGTGCAAAGGTATTTTTTAGATGCAATTGGCATTTAAATCAGTTACTATTATGTAGATGACACTCTGTAATGTTGGTAGATGACACTCTGTAATGTTGGTAGATGACACTCTGTAATGTTGGTAGGCCTTATCCACACAGTTGAAGGCCTTAAGGAAAAAAGATGGAGGTTCCTGGAGCTGGGGAATATAGCTCAGTTGGTAGAGTGCTTGCCTTGCATGCACAAAATCCTGGGTTCAATCCCTAGCAACCCCGCCACAAAAAAAAAAAAAAAAAAAAAAAAAGCAAGCAGGTTCCCCAAGGAAGTGGGGGGTTTGATCGCAGGATCAAAGGCCAGGATGCCTTTGAACTTGAGTTGCAACATCAGTTCCTCCTTGGCTCTCCAGCAGACAGGCCTGCCCTGCAGAATTAAAATTTGCTAGCCCTTGCCATCAGGTGAGCCAATTCCTTAAATCTTTCTATTCTATTGGTTCTGTTTCTACAGAGAACTCTAATACAGCCTGTTCTCAACCTGTTCTCAACCTCTCAACACTTAATAGTTATAATTGTGCAATGAATCAAAGAAAATTGTCATAACAAATCAGAGTACGTAATATTTTTGTATTGCAGAACTGTGCCCAATTCCAGCCTTGGAATCACCTCTATAATCACCCCGTTCCTGCTGATGGGCAGAATCACAGCCTTTGGGGCAGGAGTCCCTTGTGTTTCTCATTTCTAGCAAAACAAAAACCTTCTTTATCCTTTTTCTCAAAACCTTGTCCAGTTATTGGATTAACATCGGGGACAAGGACAGAGCTTTTGGCAACAACTTGACTTGGGACTTTTCTGTAGATAATGAATGTACCTTTGATCCAAGAATCCTGATGTAGGAGTCAGGTAAATGGGTCAATGTCTAGAGTTCTCCCCATAAAATAAAACTATTTTAGTTATGACTTTTATTCAAATTTTCAGCAATTTTAATTTACGTAAAATGTCATTTTTTAACCCAGTGATTTCTAAAATATGTTTTTAAAATATTGAATAATTTATGGGGGTTGTAAAAATTGGACAGTCTGTTTAAATGAGGATGCTCCCCCATTAGTCTGCCTCCCCTTGGCTTCCCATGGCCCTTACCCCATTCATTAGTTCCACAGAGACCTAAAAGCACCTTAAAGCTGATATCTGAGTTAGACTTGTGGTCCTAGCACAATGTCAACTCACATCTGACATTGAGTTTCTGCTAAGTCTACTGATTGCTCCCGTCTCCTGTAGACAACATGTGCCCTGGCCCCGAGTTGGCACAGGAGAGCTGCTGGACCTAAGCTGCCCTGCCCAAGCTGCCTCAAATTCAGGGGATGACATCTGGCACCACCACTGCACAAAGCTGTCCAACATTGGCCAGTGGTTCCCATGAGCTCACATCACAGGTGGCTAGGGAGACAGTGGGAGAGAGCCCTCAGGAATAGCTGTGTAATCCTCCCAGAGCCAAGTCTAGATGAATTTTCCATTTAAGACTGTGAAAATGAATCTTCTTACCTATGACCATTGTTTTTCTTCATGATGTCCTCTGCACTTTCTGCAGGACCTGGCACAAAATAACTAATTTTTCCATTGCCATCATAAACTGAGCCATTTTATATGTACTGATGAGCAAAAATCTTTTTTTGTGAAATGAAAAAAAAAAGAGTAATTAACCTGTGAAATTTTGCTTAAAAAGAGGTATATAAAATATGACGTAAAATTATATACACACATATACTTGCATTTACTTCCACTCACATCAAGGAACATTGAAAGAACACAGAGGAAACTACTGTTTACCTGTAGGGCAGGGTTTGGGGAAGGGACAAAATAGGGGCAGTATTGTTGCAAATCGTCTTGGGCACACCTTTTTATATATTATTGAGCCAAGTGAATGCATAACTCTTTAAAAATTAATATAGTTAAAATTATATTATTTATTTTTGGGGTATCCATTTTGTGGTGGCCAAAAGCTGAAATGGAAAACAGTAAACTACTATATCAATTTCTCTGAGGTTACTTGCTCATCTTTACTTTTTCCTGGGCTCAGAGATGGACCAAGTCCACCATACTTGAGTTTCTACTATATTTTAACTCTAGTGCCCATTATTGATTTAGTCTAGAATATTTTTCTCCCCCCCAAAATCTCCTGTGCCACCTGTTAGAATTTTGAGTTCTCTGGCAAATTTCTAAGCATGGCTTTTTATCTTCTTGAAAATAGCATGTACATAGTTGTTGTACAGTCTGTGTCCAAATATCCCAGCATCTGGAGACCCTGTTGTGTGTTATTTCTTCTTTACTGTCCTCCTTCTGGTGCCTGGTTACCTCTGATAATTTGGAAGACATATACAAGAAAGTATCTGTAGAAAGAAATCAAGGCCTAGGGTGATATTCTCTTCCTCCCAAAAGAATTCTAGTTTTTGATACAAGCAGTTTGGAGTCACCTTAAATAAGTTCTATGCTTGAGCATTTTTGGCCTTGGGACTTCCAGTTGCCATAAGCCTTTAAAGGATGCCAAAATTCAGTTTAGATTCTCAAACCCCCTACAGAATCAACAAATGCCCCCTTCTCCCAGAACAAAAGCAATCCCAAGTTCCAGGCTTGTGTCCACAGATTCTTTTCCCAAGTTTTGGCCTAGCAATTCCTTACTAGCCCTTTGAATTTTAAAATATTTTATCCAGCTTTTTTAGTTGTCTTCATCTGGAAGATTGGTCTGAATTACTCAGTCCTTAATGAAAGTAGAAATCCTTCTGATCCAGACCTCAGTTTTTTAGTGGTTTACTTTTCTCTGGACATGAGCTTCTTAGAAAAAAAAATTTTTTTTTCCGATTTCGTTTTTCTTTAGCAGTAAAGTCTACATTGGTTGCACACACACACACACACACATTGCTTCCCTCACCTGCAGTCTGGGCTGGAAGAGAACCCTGCATCCTATACACCAAATATCCCAGGAGAGCTGAGGTCAGAGTGGCCCTCCTTACCAGACTCAGAAACAGCCTGTTGGTACAAATATTCAGGTGGGGCCTGGAGAAGGCAGGTGCACAGCCGTGGCTTTGATAATTTTCTCTTCAGTACAACACTAGCATGAGGAGCAGCCCTGGGTATAAAGGCCCCTGATAGGTCTCAGTTTGCAGAATAGGACGTGACAAGAAGATCGGAGCTGCAGCCAGCTCTAGAGGGAGAAAGAGGAGCCAAACAGAAAACAGAAGCTAAATGATGCATTAAAAACCTGTAAGTGCCCCCACGAAGATTTCCTCTTCGGCAGGCTTCACTTTTCATTCCATTGGTTTGGGGTGAACTGTTCCCGGAGATTTTGCTAAATGGATAGGTATGGGGCGAATTGGGTCCGCAGGGAAGAATTTGTGGAGGCTAGTTTTCAGAGACTGTTCCTCTGTTGTAGGAAATCAAATGTAAATCTTCCCAGAGTCACTTACAGTACTTGTTTTTGGTGACTACTCTCAGTGGCCACTGGGGATTGCCTTCCAGGGTTCTGGGCTTCGGTTTCCTCATTTGTAGGTTGGGGATCACTACTCTGTGAGCGATTCAAGGCGCGCAGACCCAGGTGAGGCGCTGGCAACCCGAAGTCCGCCGGGTTAGAGAAGCCAGAAGGAGCGCGGAGACCAGAGAGAACCGACTGGCGGTGAGAGGACAGTCCAGCATCCTGGCTGCGGGCTATGCTGCCGCGACAGGCTTTGTGAGCCTAGAGGCGGCACAGGAAGTCTCTCCCTTTGAAGGCCGGACAAGGAGTGAGGCAGCTCTGGTGACAGTTGCTGGACATTAGGGTGGTTGGGGCAAAGCTGTTGGTGAGCACGCTCGGGAACGAACTGGGCGCGCGTCCCCACATCCGAATGGCTGAAGGTGTTTTAAAAAGCCTATTTGAAAAATAAACAATCTGGGAGTAATCTTGATTATATTTCCCCAGTTGAGGGGGTTCATTTTTGTTCTGCTTTTGTTTTTTAATCCTAAAGCACATATTCGCTTATGAATGCTACGAAGCTGCGGGCCCGGAGATGCGTGTTGGTGGAGGTTTTCTGCAAACTGCATTGTGCAGCCCTTGCCTCTGGAATTCGGAAGCCGCTGCAAAGACAGAAACTAAAAATTGCTTGAGCTCTGGAAGCTGCAGCCTCTGGCGACGGTTAGAGCTTTCAGTAGGGACTCATAGATAGATCCATGGGCGGCAACTCTGCTTCTCACCTTCAAGACCTCATCTGCCAAGATATCTGTCTTTTTCCGTTTAGACTCTCTTAAGGACTTCCTGATGGAAAACCGCCAAGGCTGGAAGCCTTCCAGGAGCACAACCTTACAGCTTGAAAACTCAGGGCGGGGTTCAATCCAGGTTCGCGCAGCTTGAGGCTCGCAGTGTAGGACCTCTTCAAGAAAAAAAAATATACAACATCAGACTAAATTAGGAATCAAAGTAAATATTAGCTTAGCATGCAAAAAGCAGTGTCAATAAATTATACAATTTAAAAAACCGACAAATACCGCAACCAAAAAAAATCCTGATAAATATTTCTAATAGTTGCCTGAACAACTGCTATATTTTCCTATATTTTTAGTTTTCTACTATTTGATTAACTCTTAATTTGATAACAGTTTGAAATGTGTTTTCTTGGTTCAGAATAATTTGGTATCTCTTCTAAATGTGGTTAATTTAAAAAAATTTTAAGTTACTATTGAAAATTTAGAAAAGTTGATTTTTATTTCACAATCATTGATAATCGCATGTCAATTTTTAATGCACTCATTTGGAAGGCTGCCAATGCTAAGAGTTTCTTTTATGATCCTAAGATTTTTTCAAGACATTTCAAGTTTCCTTTGGTAGTGACTCACTCTATAAATTGCTTATGGTCATTGACTTGTTCATTGCTAAATCCTTCTGGTAAAGTCCTTCTGGTAAATATCTGTGTAGATATTTTATGCCAAATCAACAAAAAATTAAAAATTTCTATGTGTTTATACAGTTTGTTCCTCTCATCAATAGATTACAAAAATCTAGGCATCAATTCTACTTAAAATTAATCTTTTCTCTCCAGTAAATTACTGGTTTTGGTTGGAAATGAAAAATAATTGTTACAATTTACTTTTCTTTCTTTCTTTCTTTCTTTTTTATACTGGTAATTTTACCAATTATCCCCAGCCCTTTTTATTTTTCATTTTGAGGCAGGGTCTCACTAAATTGCTAGGGCCTCACTAAGTTGCTGAGGTTGGCTTTGAGCCCACCATCCTCCTTCCTCAGCATCCCAAGTTGCTGGAATTACAGGCGAGCACCAGTGTTCCCAGCTCTTACAGTTCACTTTATTTTGGTGGGGGTGGGGGAGTAGGGGATTGAACTCAAGGGCACCCAACCACTGAGCCATCCCCAATTCTATTTTGTATTTTATTTAGAGACAGGGTCTCACTAAGTTGCTTAGTGCTTCGCTTTTGCTGAGCCTGACTTTGAACTCGCAATCCTCCTGTCTTAGCCTCCCAAACTGCTGGGATAACAGGTGTGGGCCACTGCGCCCATCTACAATTCACTTTTTTGATGTTAGAATAACTTCTGTTGAATTTATATAGAAGGCTGGGATATAGCTCAGTGGCACAGCGTTGTCCTGGTGTGCTCAAGATCCAGCACTGCCAAAAAAAAAAAAATTAGATTTTTGTAGAAATATGTAAAAAACAGTTTTATCTCATGACAAATGTACAATTGTATGTGTTGCATCGTAAATATACTCCTAAAGATGAGAGCTTCCATTTTGATTAGACATTGATGAGACTGAATCCTACATTTAGAATTTTCTGGTATTGGAAGGATTTATTGGCTCTGCTGCCACAGACTTCTGGTGCTTCATGTCTTCAGACACGTTCTTATGGTGACAATTCCTCTGACCTTGCACTTTAGTCTTTGCTGTCAAGTGAGTAATCTCAGCAGGTGGCAGAAGTATTCCTGGAAGCCATTTCTAAACTTAGCAATAACCTGATGAAACACAGAGGTATTTATAAGCCACATGTCTTAGTACACTCAAACCATGTAAGCCTAACTCAATTTCCCTTTTGCTGGATCCCCAAATGCCCACTGATACAAGGACAGAGGAAAGTTGGAATGGAAAAAGAAATGCTAACTGCAGTTAAATATACATTACTTTTGCAAATCTACAAAATAGTGTGACCATGTGAACACATTGCCACAGCCCATCCTGGGGCCTTGGAAATAGCCAGGGCAAGTGATGAACTTCATGGTACTTGTTTCTCTGCACACCCAATTACTTGAATCAGAATTGTATTTGAAGTTTCCTCTGCTGAAGTCTTACTTCAGGCTGACTCTCATAGCCTTATCGAACATCACTCTCTGCACTTGCTTACGCCTTTTGATTTTTCTCAATGCCTCAGTAAGTTTGGAATTTGCAGCTCATAAATTCCCATATTATAAGGAAGTGTCTAATTGTGTAGCCTCATCATTTTGTTGAAATAAGTGTGTCTAACTTAATGCCTACAGTAAGTCAACCACTTGTATACATTCCACTCAGGGTAGATTCATCCCTCTCCACAACTTCTATAAGCAAAATGTCCATACTGGTCCATCTGGCTGTTCTTAGGAGCAGATGTTTTGTAAGATTCTTTCTCAACCTGTGGATGATGAACTGCCTCAATACATTTCAGGTTAATTGGGGGTTTGTTTACTTGTTTTTTTTTCTTGGTGAAAATATTTGAAATCTGTAATTTCTCGTATGTTAATTTTTTTTTTTTTTTTTTTGGATAACAGGGATTGAACTCAGGGCCACTCGACCATTGAGCACACTCCCAGCCCTATTTTGTATTTTATTTAGAGATAGAGTCTTACTGAGTTGCTTAGGGCCTCTCTGTTGCTGAAGTTGGCTGTGAACTCTGTATCCTCCTGCCTCAGCCTCCCAAGCCGCTGGATTACAGGTGTGGTCCACCACACTTATGTTGTTTCTTACTCAAGTAGTTGTGTATATTATATCAACTGACAGTTTCCTGGAGATTTAAGGGAGAGGTGGTACTGAGTTCCAGGTTAGAGGATGGCTTTCATCAAAGGACAAAATTGCAGAGCAGATAACTTAAGATTTTGTATTAGGCATTTACATTCTTCACCATTCTTTGACATTTCTCCCACATGACATTTCTCATTGGCAAACTGTCCCCAGTCCCCTTGCTTTCTGCTGCCCTGTAGGTTCTGCCTTTCTCCTGGCTCCCTCTTCCTCTTATACAATTTTATGTTCTTTCTCTCCTACTTCCACCCCCGCCCCGTCTACATATTTTATGACTAATTTTACACAGCCAGATATTTTTCTTTTTCTTTTATTTTTTTGTGCATTACAATTATACATAATAGTGGAATCTGTTGTTACATATTTGAATATGCACAAAATATAACAATATAATTTGGTCAATTTCATTTCCAGTGCCTCCCTTATCTTCTTCTTCTCCCTCCCCTTGTCCCCTTCTTCTACTCTACTGGTCTCTCTGAGATTCCCCCATCATTTTTTCTTCTCCAGCTTCCACATATTAGAGAAAACATAAGACTCTTGACTTTCTGAGTTTGACTAATTTTGCTTAAGATAATGCTTTCAAGTTCCACCTATTTTCCTGCAAATGCAATAATTTCATTTTTCTTTATGGCTGAGTAAAACTCCATTGTGTATATGTTCCACATTCTTTACCCATCATCTGTTGATGGACAACTGGGCTGGTCCCATAACTTGGCTATTATAAATTGTGCAGCTATACACATGGGTATGCATGTGTTACTATAGTGTGCTGACTTTTAATTATATTGTGTCATTTGGTAATTCTTAGTCTTTTGAGGAACCTCCATATTGATTTCCACGGTGGTTGTACTAATTTAATTTACAATCTCACCAACAGTATAAAACTATTCCTTTTCCCCCACATCCTTTCCAGTGTTTATTATATTTTGCTCTGAGTAATTACACTGCCAATTTTAAGCCACCATCTTTAAAAGAAATATCCTAGTGCTCTCAAGTCATGGCAGCAGCAGTCTACCTTCCAGAGGTGAAAGGAAGAAGTCATGTTCCATCTTGAGAGACAGTGCCACTTACTTTGCACCCAGAGTCAGCTACCAAAAGCACTCAGCTGAAGCACCCTCTCTATTCTTGTTCTGGGCAGAGTGGCAGGTTAAAATCCAGGTAGGAATAATTTAGAAGGTACATTGAACTTGAAGTGGACATCCAAGGATGTGCAGGAATTTAAACTCAAGGAGATCAAGACAAGGAAAAAAGAATCTGAATGGCATTGAGGCTCAGGTGGGAAAAGACAGAGTGGTGGCATGAACCCGGGGCCTCTGCCTTGGAAGTTCATTTAGCTACACCTCATGGCACAAGGTTGGAGTAGTCTACCTTTTACGGATGATTAGAGGGGTGAGGTGAGAGGGAACCAATAGCCAAGGAAACGAGAATTACAAGGAGGGGACTACTTGAACTAAGGTCTCAGAATCATAAGTTTGGATGTAAATTGAGAAAATATCACTGAAATTCAAGTTTAGGATTGTCAATCTAAATTTTAAAAATCATATTTTCTCCCAAATACTGATATTTATTTGGGAATAGCACTGCAATGGGATTGTGCATGCCAGCAAACTATGGGTGTATTCAAGGAGGTTGAGACAAGGGGAAGTTTTTGAAGTTTTCAAAAATGAAGATTACATCAGATATTTTGAAACATTGTTTCTTGGCCATAATGGCAAATAACTTGAGTAACATCAGTTCAAGGTTAAATAAACAATTGCTTGGTAGATGTCCTTGTAGAAGTACTTTTTGTGAAAGCTTGGGGTCTGGCAGAGTCTTCTGTGAATTATTATCAGGTAATTGTGTGTAAAAACCCTTACTTCATAAATTTCCAGCCTTACTTACAATTTTTTTCTTAAGTTAATATTACTCAGGGGTCTGGGGGTATAGCTCTGTTGGTACAGCATAGGCATAAAGCTGTTCATTCCCTAACACCACACACATACACACACACACACACACACATACAAACACACATACACACACATACACAAGCTAGTATTTTACACATATATAGTTTGTTTACACATACACAAGCTAGTATTACTAAATAGTGGGTTCCTGCCTTTAAGTTGCTCAATAAACCTGTAGGAAAAACAAGTACCTAAATAACTATAGTAAAAGTTACTATATGATCAGTAGTCCACATTGGCATAAAATGCTATTTTTCTTCATCTATGTGGCCATATATCCACTTATCCAGTCTTTCTATCCATCTATCCATTCACCCACTCATTTATCAAGGGCAAGGAAAGGTGTGGAGAGAGATGATACTTTGTGGCAAGGAAGCCATGGGTCTGGGATAACGGATATCCAAATATGAATCTCAGGTCTAGATTTACCCCACTGTGACCTTGGACAGTTATTTCATTTTTCTATATTTTGTTTCCTACATTATCCCATGAGATTGTGCAGAAATGTCCAATGCAGGAGGGTCAAGGACTAGAGGTTAAAGAACAGGTGTGGCAGTGAGTAGCTTACAGAGAGAGCAGCAGGACAAGGTTGATGCCTAGATTTGTGATTTCAAGTGCTGAAATCTGAATTCCAACGAAGTGCAGAGAGTGGTCACAGGGTAGGTGGCAAAAGGGAAGGTCATTAGATGTGGGCAGGTCAAGGAACTGAGGGACTTCAGTGTTGGATGTCCATTTACATAGTCTTGTACTTAGGATAATGGAAAGACATGGGGTAAGGAAAAACCTGTGATCCTTGTACCCAAGTCCTCAATGAATTAAAGGAGACAGGTGTGTGAAGGGTAGCAAAGAAGAGCCAGAGTAGACAACCAGAGATCTTTCAGACAGATATTCTTACTCTGAGTCTGAGAAATAATGGTCAGGAGGTGGGGGTGTGGAGTGAGGAAGCTACCCACCCCCCTGTGACCTTGAAATTTTAGGGAGTCATCTCCTTTGAGAAGAAAGCCAAGGAACTATGACTTGAGAAAGTGACTTTTTGGTATCAACCTAAAAGAAAATCTGTTTAAACATTTGGGCACCAAATATGTGGATTTATTTTTCTCACACCAACTAATTTTACAATTCTCTGACATAACTGAATGTCCTTAATTCTGACACTATCGGTGGTTAATACAGATACCACAGGTTAAGAGCTTGTCCCAGAAGACTGCCTCTTGCTTCAGATGCACATCATAAGTAGTGGGTCCCCAGGTTACCCACACTTATGGCTGACTTGGCTACAAATTGGAATTCTCCATGAGTCCATCCTTAAGTTTAACAATTTGCTATAATCGTGCACAGAACTCAGAAACACACTTTAATTGCTATTACTGATTTGGTGCAAAGAAGTCAGGAACAGCCAGATGAAGAGGTACATAGGGTAAGCTCCAGAAGGGAAGTGAGCACAGGATCTTGTGTCCCCGCTGAGTTGTATCCCCACTGAGTTTGGTGAGCACCATTTTCCCAGCATGTGATGCATTTACCATCCTGGAAGTTCTTTGAACCCTTTTGTTGAGACTTTCATGAATATTCCAATATGTAAGTATAATTGACCAAATTATTGGCCATTGGTGATTACTCAGTTCCCAGGACCCTCTCTTCTTTCTCGAGGTAGGAGGCAGAGCTATAAGTTCCAACTCTCTAACCATAATTGGCTTTTCTAGTAACTGGCCCCATATTTTAAGAGCCACCTCTTTGGCATAAAATCAGGTTTGGTTGAAAGGGTCCTATTGTGAATAGCAAAATATACACCAGTCACTTCTATCACTCAGGAAACTACAAGGGTTTGAGGAGTTGTCTTCCAGAACCAGGGATGAAGACCAAAAGTATACTTATCTTATTATAATACCACACAACTCCACATAGCAATCGGTGGCAAAGTAGGATTGAAGGAGGGGGCTATGGATTGAGGTTTTCAAATAAGAATCTTAGATCATTAAAAGCCTCAAGCGGCGATCCTTATTACTGGCACCAGCTGGTGTCTCTCCCAATGTCAATGCTGAGATCAGCCTGACTGGAAGGTTACTGGAGGACAGTGGGGTGGGCAACTGATGTTCCAGCATCATCCAGCAGTAAGTGTCAAGGTCTCATGACACCTGGATCCTACAGTTCCATAAGCTGGGATTCTGGTGGCCTCCATTCTGAGTTGACTGTCAGTTTCTGTAATATTTGCATTAAAAGCACCAAGACTTTCCTCTTTCCCGTGAGCAAACAAGCCACACCCTGCAACAACTAAAGTCCACCTGTTCTTCCAGTTACCCTAGGTCACGGGGACTTTCATTTCCCTGGTAATTCAGTGTTTCTAAGATTGGGTGAGTTGCTCCACCTCTCCCCCAGTTTTACTGACCCATGAGCATATATAATTGGCCTGATTTAAGAAGGAACCATTCACCCGGCCGGCCTTCTCCCCAGATCTGGAGCCTGAGAAAATGACCTGAAATCAAAAAGGAGAAATTGAGGTAGGATTATAAAAGAGCTTTTGCGGGGAAGGAAGTTAGGCAAGATGAGAGTGAACACACCATATTTAAGGGAAGTGGTGTGGCAGAGACTTCCTTTGGGTCATCTTTGGAGATAATTTGAAAAGAAAGAAAAAGATGGCTTCAAACATTACACAAGTCTCTCTTCTGCTTTCTGTCCCGTTTTCTTTCTCTTTCTCTTTTATGTGGCATCTATAACCGTGGAAAAGATGCTAGTTAGGAAAATGACTTGCTGACAACATGCTGCTATAAATGGTTGGCTGTATCAATGGCAGTACATTACTGTGGGCGAGAACAGTTTGAACTCCTGCCGAATCCTGGCAACCAACAGCAAATCAGAGAAGACTTTCAACTTATAAATTATGGTGGTTCTGTTTCTGGCCATGACAATGACATCCTGGTCATTTAATTTTGAACTGTATAAATATTCACAGAAAGCTCTCAAGAGAAAACGCGGGCGGTGGGGGAGAGAAATAAAAGAGTTTTTGAATCACCTGCTTCTTAGAGTTGTATGGAAATAGTGATTTCAAGTGTAGCAGATATAGGGAAACCACAGGATGCATAGCAAAGCTAATGAGGTATTTCTGAAACTCATTCAGAATCATGGTTTAGGTGGCCAGAACTGTCTCCTTTGATGGAAAGGGGGCAACTGCCTGAAGTTGGAGCCTGAGCTGTGTCCTTTGGGTCTGTCCAGGGCTGCCTCCTTCCAGCTGAGCCCTCTCATCTAGGGCTATCAAGTGTGGCAGGATTCTTCAGAAGACCCAGTGGGAGGCTGGTGGGACAGGTTGGAGACCATGGTCTCCTTACAAGAGGACAGACAGGAGGAGGCTGTCTGCCCCATCTGCCAAGAACACCTGAAGGAGGCTGTGAGCACGGACTGCAAACACCTCTTCTGTCGTGTGTGCCTGGCCCAGCACATGGAGAAGGCCTTGGCCTTTGGGGCTCTCTGCTGTCCCCTCTGCCGGAAGCCCTATTCTGAGAGGGTACTGGGGGAAGGCTACATCTGCCACAAGCACCAGAAGAGGTTTCAGAGGTTCTGTGAGAAGAGCAAATGTCTACTGTGCGTAGAATGCCTGGAGTCCCCTGAACACCAGTCTCATTCTGAGCCGACCATTGAAAATGCCATCAGTCACTACAAGGTAAGGCTGAGCACCCCTGCCATGGCTCCCTGAGCTATTTGCTTCTGTGTGTGGCACCTTACAGAGAGGATCAATAACTGACACCTTTGTTCCCTCTGCTTCATTCTATTTTATATCTTTGTCTTTGCTTTTCCGTGTATATTTTGCTGCTGATGTTGGACTTTCAAGCTTTAATGTGAGGCTGTCTTAAAGGTGATACTGTCCCTGTAATGGCAGATTTCCAGGAAGCCTGAGCCACTCTTAGTGTGCTCATCTGTAGAATGAAGTTGTACCAGATAATGTAAAGCCTGTTCAGTACTAAGATTATATACTCCCTAGTTGATAGTACTAGAAACTTGGCTAGAAGTGAAATCAAGTTTTACCTATGCTAGCAATTATCCTGCAAGTATACTGAAACTTGGATATTAATATATGATTCTCTCTTTTTCTTCCCCCTTTGTCTTTTCTTCACTTTCTCCGTCTCATCATGATTATTTTTATCTTACTTAATGTTTTATCAGAAAAATTTCAACCTCTTGGTATTAAATTCAGACAACACCAAAAGGTATACCATCAAAACTCAAAATCATTTTTCCTGCCTACCCCCATTGTCAGTCCTAGAGGTAATCATTGTTAGATTTTTGTGTATACTTCCAGAAAACTGTATGTACAAATGCACTCTTGAAAACACACACACACATACACACGATTTTTTTTCCTGTAGCTTGTCTTTATCATCCAAAAAAATATTTTGGACATTTTCCCATTTTTCCCATCAGTACATCCAGATCTTCTGAATTCTTTTCAACAATTGTATGGTATTCATTTTTTGAATGTAACATAAGTAGACAAACATTGTGTTATTTTCAAGTTATTATTTTGTTTTGAGGTTGTATACAATGTTGTAATGAATATTTTTCAATGTATATTTTGGATAACTTAGAATACCCAAGATATATTTTGGTGAAAGTGTATAGGAATCTAATTATTTTTTCTAAGTTACAATTTGTCCTATCACCATTTATTAAATATTGCATATAGTTCTCCCACTGATTTGAATGCCAACTTTGTAATATGCCATAAATGTATATTTACTTACATATGTTCTTGATCCTATTCTGTTTTATTATTCTCTATATTCCTGTTTGTATGCAAAACCATTTTACATATTGTAAATTTGTTCTTTACTTTTAAGTGTTTATGCATGCATTATAAATTACAAATATGTATAACATTACAACATAATCCAAAATAAATAGTGATATAGAAAATTTTTATGATAAATAAAACTATGGTTTTAAAGCCATTTTCTGGAAAACCAAAAATGACAACTTTAATATCATACCAAACATAAGTAATACCAATTCAAATTAAAGAAACATATGCTAGTACCAGTTTCTGATAATAAAAATGGCTTAAGTCCTACTATATGTTCAATTCAGGACAGGTATTTGTAGAAACAAAAGAATATTAAAATCATTTATTTTATAATTAGGCCATGAAGGAAAGAATAATAAGCAGCAGAGTTCTTTTATACCATAAAATTACTTACGCTCTCTTATTCAGCTAGAAAACTAGCTTGAGAGGTGCTACGACATTTCATTAATAATTTCTCTACAGCAAATAATTGTTTTACATCTAGAGCACATTAAAAAAATTTTTCTCCTAAATCTTTTTGTTGTTGTTGTTCTTTTGAGTCTTAATCACTAAGAGTTCAAGGTATTTGGTAAAACTCTGATTTCTTAGAGGGCTTGGTGAGTGAATTAAAACCAAGCAATATGTTTATATTCTGAAAATGTTCTTAAATTCATAAAACATTGCTTGACTGGTGGAGCTAGATTTCCCCTACAGGTATCATGACATTTGAAGAATACATGTTATAAAATTTCCTACCAATTTTGTCTTGTTCTTTCCTTGTTAGACACTGTGCTTCCTTTTCCATTTTCTCCCTTTGTGGTCCGGCTCCTCTCTTTTCTCTGCTGTCTCAATACTTCTTGCCAGGCTCCATCTTCTTCCCATGCATTGGTCCCTGCCTCCCTTCCTTCCTTCCTCCTTTCTCTCTCTTTCTCATTTTTCAGTGCTAGGGATGGAACCCAGGGCCTTGGGCATGCTAAACAAGCATTCCACTGCTGATTTTTACCAACAGCCCTGTGTTGGTATTTTCTTGCCAGATATTTAAGTCACCTGATTTAGAATGTTGATGAAGAACGGGCATTTTTGTGTAGGTGCTAATTTACTAGAGAAACCTGTGTTACCATCTGGAATATGAAAATTGAACAATTCTCTCTTCTTAATGATTGTCTAAGTTTTGCTCATAGTTGGCATCATGTTCTTAAAACAGGTTCCTGTTGTTCCAGGGTACTCTGTTGTTGACACATTCCCATTCTCTCCTTCAATCCTTACCCAAGATACTTCAACCCAAGATACTTCTTCAATCCAGGAAGTCCACCCTTCAACTCCTGTTTGCTTAGGAACCAATAAATATTCCATATAGTTCTCCCACTGATTTGAATGCCAACTTTGTAATATGCCATAAATGTATATTTACTTCATGTGGTTGGCAAAGTTAAATGGTCTCCATTTAATTTCTATCCTCTGCTAATCTGTGCATTAATCTCTTTAAGAATAAGTATACTATTGCTAGGCAGATACAAACTATATTTTTATTGTTGGTACTAGGGATTGAATCTGGGGTGCTTAACCACCAAGTCACATCCTCAGACCAATTTTATTTTTCATTGAGACAAGGTCTTGCAAAATTGTGTAAAGCCTCTCTAAATTGCTAAGGCTGGCCTGGAACCCGAGATCCTCCCATCTCAGCCTCTGGAATCACTGGGATTATAGGCAAGTTATAAACTTTAAATAACTGAAACTGCATGATGGCCATCATGGGAATCAAAACCTTTCCCTCCCACTTTCCACCTTGTAATATATTTAAATGTCGGATAGATCTTCAATTTCTCTTATTTTTCAGAATTTTTGTGGATATTCATATGTTTATTTTGTCAATTCCTCTAGAATTATTTTTACCAACCTTTGCCTCACCCCAATCCAGGTAGTATTTGTATACCATGAGTATCTTTCTATTGAAATGATGAAGACTGAGTTTTCAAAGTCTTCTTGATTTTTGGAGACTATTGTAATGATATAAAATGAGAAAAAAAGTTATTCCAGCTTGGGAGTGACTATAGAAAAGAGAGAAATAGCTCAGAAAGTTGAAGAGGCAAAGAGCTCTGCACCTTCCAGGTATGGTGTCCTCAGGAGTGTGGGGAGGAGCTTCCCACTGGCTAATGAGCCACAGGCACGAGAGGGAGAAATCTACTCATCTACTAAATGATTTACCCAGGTTTGCACTTTGTATAGAATGTCATGCTAGCTGTTGTAGGAAGTACCAGATGATTCATGATCATTGTCTTCAAATTCATGTTTAAACAGTAATAGGAATTGCAGAACAAATAAATGCCAACAATATTTATTCACTTAAGGAAAACACAGTGAGTTCTTTCTGAATTTATGTATGATGAGGTATGAGCCTTCACTTAGGAAAACAGACAAATAAGAAATGAAACAAACTACATGATTTTGTGATCTAGGAGGAAAACAAACAAGACCCTGAGATGGAGAATAACACATGACTATGTTAGTGTGGTCTGACGGGGTCTCTTAGGGGAGATGACATTGAAGTTAAGGCCTAGAGGAAGAAAAATGGACCAGTGCAAAGCTGAGGGAAAGGGAATATATGCAGAGACCCAAGTCTGGAAGGTCTCATTATATTTAAAGAATTTATAATCAGAGTTTGAATTGTTAGGATTTATTGATAGGTGAGAATTGGGGTGAGGAAAAAAATCAAAGAATCAAAGATGACCTCATGAGTTTCTGGTTTGAGAAACCAAAGGGATGATGTGACAGATAAGGAATGGGGAGAACAGGTTTGAATGAAATATCAAGAGTTTCATTTGGGACAAGTTGAGTCCAAGTTGAGACACACCATAGTAGCGATCTTAGATATGTAATTGGATATCAACTCTTTATCTCCAAAGAGAGTCTGGGGTTATATTCTCAGAATCTAGAGCAGGAATGAAGGTGATATTTACTTATTTGTTATGGTACTGGAACTTTAACCCAGGGGCATGCTACCACTGAGTTACATCCTGGTTCTTTTTTTTTTTTTTTTTTTTTTTTTGGATACTGAGGCTTGAACCCAGGGGTGCGCTCAACAACTGGGCCACATCCCCAGCCCTTTTTAATATTTTATTTAGAGACAGGGTCTCGCTGAGGTGCTAAGTGCCTTGCTAAGTTGCTGAGGCTGGCTTTGAACTCACAATCCTCCTGCCTCAGCCTCCTGAGCCACTGGGATTACAGGCATACACCACCATGCCCAGCTCCCCAGTTCCTTTTATTTTGTGTTTTGAGACAGGGTTTCACTAAGTTGCTGAGGGTCTTCTAAGTTGCCAAGGCTGGCTTTGAACTTGCAAACCACTTACCTCAGGCTTGCAAATTGCTGGGATTATAGGTGTGTACCACTGCACCTGGCTTGAATATGATATTTACATCTGAGGGAATTGATGTAATATCCTTAGAAGGGAATCTTGAGAGAAAATCAGTTTCAGGGAAGGTCATGGGAAAGGTGATCACTAGGATGTAGGAGAGAGGAGGGCCCAGAAAAGGAGACAGGATGAGTCACGGAAGGACAGGAGGAAAACAGAAAATCGTGTCCCAGTGCTGAGAGAAGAGCTTTTTAAGATATGATGTAGATTGCATTGAAAGAGACCCAGGGGCCCTTTAGATAGTGGCAGAGAAGAGAAGCCTGGGCTGGGAGAAAGGGCACTTCTTCCACTTCTTCTGTAGGGGACAAAAGAAGCTGTCTCTAAGTATAAGTAGTTTTTAAGTTTTAGAGACAGTTTGGGTGTTCTGGTTTTTATTTCCTCAATAATATAAGAAGCAGGAACATCAGCAGTGTGGCAGAGGTGGGGATGCAAAAGGTGTGAAAAGAGAGGATAGTTTGGGTGATATAATTCAGG